TTTTTTTTTTTTTTTTTTATATTTATCTATATATATATATATCTGTACTTATAATTATTAAATAATAATTATTATAAAAAGTGCCAATACTTGTCTAAAAAAATGAAATGCCAACAATTTTCATATTTATAACGTCAAATTTGTAATTTAATAAGAAAAATGTTACATGTACATAATACATGTACATAGAGGTGTACATAACACTTACATGGAGTAGGTTCTACTTGATTTGTTATTTTTGGTGGGTCCTACTCAATGTGAATTTTATGTACACCCTTATGTACACTATTATGTACTTGTAGCATTATCCATTTAGGAAATAATACTCATTCTACATGCCCAATACCTCAGATGAGATCAACCCGACGTTATTCTCTCTCAGTTTTTATCATCGATACTATAGTACGCTCCCACGCGCCGAACCCAAAGACCATCATAACGACATCGTTGGGGGCACCCGAGCAGCCCTCAGCACTTCTCCACGAAGCCCCGCTCCATCATCACGACATCGTTGGGGGCACCCGAGCAGCCCTCAGCACTTCCCCACGAAGCCCCGCTCGCTGCCGCCGCGCCGACCAGCCCCAAAAGAATTCCAACCGCGTTTTCAATCGACAACATCAATTTCAACAAGCCCAACCGCATTTTTCAACTTATTTAAAAAAATATTTTGATAACACGTATTTAACAGGTAGATTAGCAGTTCCGTTTACTTAATGAGAAAGGTAAATGACCAAAGGGTGAAACAACAAGAACATATATAAAGGGGAATCTAATCTAGCCCTTATTTATTACATTCTCAAGGTGGATTTTATTCATGTTTTGACTCTAAGAACAGTGTACCTACCTCCACTATTCTTTTATTCAAAAGGTAACAACATACTTAAAACAACATTGTTCTTTCTTATGGAACAAAGTTAATTGCTGGTAAAATTAGTGCAACTTGTCCGGTAAGAAGGTGACTGCTATAACACTCCTCACAGTATGCTTTCCTGAATCCCAAAGCAAGAAGCCTTGTGCAACAGATACATTGTTCCCCCAATAGGTCATCTTCTTGCTGCGGCGAAACGTCACGTAGTACGTCGCTTTCTGCTTCAACCTCGTGAAACACATCCTCGATGGTCTCACGACAACATTCACTCCCAGGGGCTCGACTATTCTCACGGAGTAACACGAGACGGGCTCGCCCATGTTGGTGACGGTCCGAGAGAAAGTCTGGGACGAGCCGAGAAAAGCCGACAACGTAGGGTAGTTGAGCTGGCCCTGAGGGATTCTGGACGAGCAATCGGCTGGCTCCTGCGTGATCATCTTGACCTGGTCCTCCGTGTATCCCAAGCCGCACAAAAACGGGATGTACTCATCCATTGCAATGTCGTAGACCAGACCAGGATCCAGCGCCCTATTCAGGTTGACGTGGCCGGCACCAGCAGTGTATATATTGGCTGGATTAAATTTCTCGTCGAGAATCGGTACGTCGTGGGCATTGATGAGATCCGCAGTGGTCATGATAGCCGATTTTAGGGCCGCCACTGACCAGTCGGGGTGGGCGCTCTTGAGTAGGGCTGCAACCCCACTGAGGTGAGGACATGACATAGATGTGCCCGAAACGATCTGAAATGTGGTCCCCAATTGCCATGGGTCCAGGGGAGACCACCCGGCCAGAATGTTTTCGCCCGGCCCAATGATGTCCGGTTTCAGAACCCCCGGAAATTTAGTACTGGGCCCCCTGGACGAGTAATAGGTGACGGTGGGAGAAAATGGGTCACCAAGCTCTGTCCCCTCGAACAAGATTGTTGCCCTTGGGGAGGATGTAGAATTTATGTAGGTCTTAATATCCTGGCCCGCCCAAAAGGACACCGCCGTGGATGGTAAGTCGACGAGATAAGACTCGTGGCTAAACCCGGCATCTTCGCTGTGGGCCATTATCATAGCGACACCACTGGCATTCTTAACATTCCGGGATGACCAAGTTATAAAATCTCCATCGCACAGCACAATCTTGTTCCTGACATTGAACTTTGCCAGCGACTCACTGGAGCACTCTTTGCAGTAGACGAGTGGCCAGATCTTTTGAGAAGAAAAGTTTCTGGGCTGGAACACAGACTCCCCATCAAAAGACAATCCATTTCCCAGCTTTGCCGTGGCCCGAATCCTTCGGTCAATTGTGCTTGCTCCGACAGTGAGAAGCCAGGGTGCATCGTTGACCACCGTCGAGGCAGAAGGACCATTGTTCCCCGCCGCCACACTCGTGAGGATTCCTTTCTTGGCTGCCGCAAAACCGCCTATCGCTGCAGGGTCTGTGTACAATGACATTGGTTCACGCGAGAGCAAGGACACTGATAACACGTCTACCCCATCCTCGATGGCGGCATCAATACCGACTAGAATGTCGCTATTTCTGCAGCCGTAAACATAGCAGACTTTGTATGCAGCGAGGTGAGCGCGTGGGGCCACCCCAGACGCGGTCCCAGCGGCGTTGCCTTGGATGCTGACGCCGGGCACGAATGCTCCGACTGCTGT